TACCAGCAGACAAAATTTTGTACATTAAACTTGAAGTGAACAAAAGGTAGAATGAGCGTACACGCAGACTGTGTATCTACACAGACACAGAGTGAAGAGCCCTGGAGGGCGAAACTGGCCATGAAAAGGTTCCATTTTGAAGCACATACACCGTCAAGTAGCATCTTGACACGGGGCTCAACAATAGCTACTTGTTAGCCGAGCGCGTCAACAGAGAATAGAAAACGACACCCGGACCCGAAAGCTTTTCACCGTTTAAAATCCTAAAGTCTCCGCCATTGGATTCACCTGTCTGAAATACCGACTAGTCTTTTAATTCCCTCGTTCTTGATAACCGAGCGTAATCGAATTACCAACCAAGAACATCGGCTTGTTGAAAATTTAATCGTTTATCCGAGGAATGCTTTTCCTTCGATAATTAACAAATCCGATTTCACATTTACCAACAGAAACTTATTAATAACCCTCGTAGTCTATAACGATTCGCTCGGCGATAAGAGCGCTGGAATATTAAGTATGCTATATTCGAAGGGAACGGGGTTTAGCGGTTTAGACCAGTATTTCAAGTTTCGTTTCCAGTTAACGAGATAACGGACGATTAATGGGGGATATTAGACAAATACATTCTTTATTTATTATTAGTCGCAACTACATGAAAATATGTTCAAACAATCTATTTGTCTGAATTATTTATAAAATCCAAGAGAACTGTAATGTCGAGTTGTGCAAGGGGTTAACTTTAAAGGCCGCAGTAGTCAAATGTCGACAGGGGTCAGACTTTTGAAGAATTAATTTAAAACAAAAATTATGTAAATTCATCAAATAGTTCAATGTGTGCAATGAAATAAACGGAAACAACAGCACATTTAATACGACAAATATTTTCCTTCGTGTGACAATTATTAAGGCAACGTATGTTCATCAAACGTCACATGTGTGAGTTGAAATGAAAGTCAATTAAATTGAAATGTCATGACAATTTTATATTCAAATCCTTCATGAAGCAAATAACGATAGTTCCAAATGTGCAAATAAACGGAAACAACAGCACATTTAATACAACAAATATTTTCCTTCGTGTGACAATTATTAATGCAACGTATGTTCATCAAACGTCACATGTGTGAGTTGAAATGAAAGTCAATGAAGATTGAAATGTTATGACAATTTTGTATTCAAATCCTTGATGAAATAACGATGTATTATAATATTGTAACATGTATCAATTATCGGTACAATAATTCCCCGTCCGCTAAATTCACCGAGCAAAGAAGCGAAAAAGAGGGGAGTTTCGATAGCACAAGCACGAACCCACACATCGCTAAAGAACTAGCGATGAACGTAGAGGCACGGTACCTCTGTGGGGTCCAGGCTTAACTTTACGATCTCTTGAAATCCCTTCGGGGCTTATGGTCCCACTACGATGCTAATAGAACCGAAATTATAACAGGCCGATGAGCATGCGTCGACTGCTCTTATTCCGGCCGGCTGACGGATCGAGGAAAAAACGGCTAGGAAGAAAAGGAGGGAGTGAAATCGGGAACACTCGAGTGCTCGCCAGTCCCAGGGAGCCGATTAAAGGATCTTCCGATACTTTTTAGGTTCTTCTCAAACCGTCTTTTGTACCTACGGTATTTGGAAGCCAAACACGAGGCGGGAGAAAGATACATTATGTGAAGAAAAGGCGATACGGGGGTCATTTAAATCGCTTTCGGTATTTATTGTAGAATAAGACATCAATATTAGAAGCTTATAAATTTTTCGATTGCAGAATTGGAAAATTGGAAAAATTGGAAAAATTGGAAAAAACATGAAGATTTTTCAATTCCCAAAAATTGATAATTTCAAAATTCCCCAAATTTGGAACTACATAAGACACTAAATTCTAGTTCTACATGATCAAATCTTTAAATATTGAATTTTCTAAATCTTCATATTCCTGAACTACCAAATTCCTATATCTTTTGGTTCCAGATTACTTATATTTCCAAATTTCCTAGATTCATGAATTTCTAAATCCCAAATTCTCTAGATTGGTAAATTTCTAAATACCAAAATCCCTAGATTTCCGAGTAAGAAAATTACGGAATTCCTAAATCCCCAATCTCCATATTTCCGAACAAGAAAATTCCTGATTTCATAAATCCCCCAATTCCTAGATTCCCAAATTCCTAAATCCCCAAATTCCTAGATTCTTAAATCCCTAATTCCCTAGATCCCCGAGTACCCAAACCCACGAATCCCTAGATTCATGAATTCCTAAATCCCCAAATCCCTAGATTTCCGAATACTTAAATCCCCGAATCCCTAGATTCCCGAATAGTTAAACCCTCGAATCCCTAGATTTCCGAATACTTAAATCCCCCAAATCCCTAGATTTCGGAATAGTTAAATCTCCGAATCTCTAGATTCCCGAATAGTTAAATCCCCGAATCCATAGATTCCCAAATACTTAATTCCCCCAAATCCCTAGATTCCCAAGTACCTAAATTCCCAAATCCCCAAATCCCCAAATCCCCAAATTCCCAAATTCCCAAATTCCTAAATTTCCGAATTCCCAAATCCCCAAATCCCTAAATTCCCAAGTTCCAAAATTTCCTAAATCCCCAAATTTCAAAAATTCCCTAAGTTCCGAAAATTCGAAAGATCGCGTATTTATGTTTACCGTCCGTTCAGGAACAACTTGATTCCCCTCATCGTTCCCGTTTTTACCCCGTCAATTTCGACAGATTCCAAGAATGCTGGATAGACAGATCAAATAGGAGGAGGACGTGGCTCGAAGCACAAAGAAATCGGGCCACGTGGAAAGCAGCAGCCAGATGCTCTTTTTCAGGATCGAAGAAGCCGATCCCGAAGATAGACGAAGGTCCCATCGAACAATGTTCAACAGGCAAATATATCGGGACAAAGAACAGACCGACGTTATCTGTCATCGGCGATCGCTGATACAACTAATAGAACTGGACCGATGGCTCGTTTTGAAATAATTACTCTCCCTTATCGTCCCGGAATCTCTTTCAGCTGTTTTGCAGGTAGTTTCGTAAACAAGACTCTCTTCTTTTTCTCTTTTTTTTTTCTTCTCGAGGAACATCGATGTCATCTTTCTTCAGAATCTTGTTTTGCTCTTTTTCTTCTTTTATTAAAAATATCAATATTGCGATTTGTGCTTGGTACGTTTAACTCTTTAAAATACTTGTAAAGAAATGGTGTAGTTTAGTATACTCTAGATATATTGCCGACGATGAGGTTATAGATGTTATCCAAATTGTGTTGCAAGAGGTGATATAATGAGTTGTGATATATTACGAGGCGGTACAATGCGGAAAATGTAAGTAGAAATACGATTCGGTGATATAACGCGAGGTGATATATCGGCGATATAACACGAGATGACACAGCGTATTAGTAATGCCACACGTAGCAATACAACACGTTAGTAATATAACAAGTAGAAACGCAACGCGCAGAAATACAACGCATCGACGATATAACGCGAGGCAACATAACACGTTAATAATGCAACGTAAAGCAATGCAAGGCGTCATATAATACAATAGGTAGGAACACAACGCGACAGTAATGTAATATATGGAATTACAATGCATCGGCGATATAACGCGAGGAGATGCAACGCGTGATTAATGCAACGTACAACAATATAACGCGTTATGTACTACAATACGTAGAAACAGAACGCGTCAGTAATGTAATATATGGAATTACAATGCATCGGCGATATAACGCGAGGAGGTGCAGCGCGTGATTAATGCAACGTACAGCAATATAACATATTGTGTACTACAATACGTAGAGACAGAACGCGTCAATAATGTAATATATGGAATTACAATGTATCGGCGATATAACACGAGGCGATATAACGCATCAGTAATGCAACGTACAGCAATATAACGCGTTATACACCACAATACGTAAAAACAGAACGCGTCAGTAATGTAATATATAGAAATATAATGTATCGGCGATATAACGCGAGATGATACAATGCATCAGTAATGCAATGTACAGCAATATAACGCGTTATGTAACACAATACGAAAAAACAGAACGCGTCAGTAATACAATCGGTGAAAATACAACGCGTCGGCAATATAACGCGAGGCAATAAAACGCGAGGCAATAAAACGCGAGACTAACGTTAGTAACACTATACTTAACAATACTAGAACGGCGAATATCAGTGCTAATGTTCGCGAAAATCATTCAAACGAGGCAATATAACAAGAGTCCACGTTTATTTTCTTTTACATCATCGTGAATAATTATACGCATCTTAAACTCAGCAGTGTGATCGCGAGCCAAGCTATTAATCGCCGAATGAATACCCGTGTAAAATGAGAAACGCGTATATTAGCTCTTTCATGGCTACTGTCACTTATAAATTCCCGTGAAGTCTACTTATGGGTGTTATGGACACCTATAAGCACCCAAGTTTGACGATGGGGTGCTTAGTGGTATCTTTAGATCCCTGGCATATGTCGTTTAAAGCTTTAACGCCTGATATTTTTCCACGTATAAATAGAAGTTTTCCTGCATCAAGTTTCCCTATAAATTCGTATATCTATGAACGATTAATCCTCCTATGATCGAATGTCGAGTTAAACTAACCTTGTTACTATTTCCATCCGAGAGATACTTATACCCGATTCATTTAATTTCGCGTCCAGAATAAATTCCGTCTCAATAATTGACGTTATTATAAATCGATTCATCCGTTATTCGATCGTGAACTACTAAGACATGCTATTGGTTCCATCAGTTTTTATCAATTATAAATCCGTCTCTGTTTCATCGTTTCGGGTAACTGAAAGTCAACACTCTGACAGCCGTGTCTTGAGATCACTATTTTTATATCCGATGTCTGACGGATTATCATTGCGTGAATTTTATTAAACCGTCGAGTACAAAGTTTAAAACTTATTCCATATCAAAGAGAGACGCAGGAGATGTTGCAGGATACGCAAGGATCCACATGGACGTGTATATAATATTTTCCTTTTATTACTTTAAATAACATCAACTTTACTTCGGTTACAGTTCGATCGTACATCGTGTGATCTTCTTAATCTATTATCTCGTGCCACTCCTTCCATTTTCTCACTCACACTCGTTCACTCTCACACATAAAATTCTCTCTTCGATTCTCTCTCGTCTTTTTTAGTTGTGCAACGTTTAAAAGCTTGCCCGCTAGAATACGACAAGAACTGTGTTGGGAAGTAGTGTCCGGTTATTAATAAATCGTCCTCGTAAAACTTATTCACCGGTTCAAAATGGTACACAATGTGTCCCTAGCTTCGTCTACGGCTATTTATGCGTGTCTCTCGTTTTAATGCTCCTCGTTCTGTCTCTCTGTAACTTCGTTGTAAATCATCCTTCGGTATAAAAATTTGTGCTATCTTAGATGAACATTCCTAGAAACTTTTTACTGAAAGTCAAATTTTCTCTCGTTCATGAAGCTTGATTTAATCTGTTAATTGCTTACGACGAATTAACACGATTTTTAGATACAGACATTTATTAAAAAACGGTTCTGGTAAACTTTTAGTAGGATACTTCCGGATCGAACTAATCTACGTACATTTATCTTCTTACACGTATAAAATGTGGCTATAAAAAATCGACCAATTAACAGATTAAACCTGATCGATTTCTCTTTGCGATGAGATAAAAAGATTTCGAATCTCGTATTTTAAATAAAATTGCGTTTACATGATCAGATAAAATTACATACTTTAAAAGCACGTACAACTTCAAAATAAAAATTGAAAAATAAAAATTAAAAATGTAGAGTGATCTTCAAAATAAAAATTAAAAATGTAGAGTGATCTTCAAAATAAGAATTCAAAAATAAAAATTGAAAATGTAGAATGATTTGTAAATAAAGTAAGATGTAGGAAATGATTGAAAAAGTGTTAGATCGTGATCGGATCGAATCGAATGTTAACGCTGCGATTGAACGGTGCAATAGTTAACCACGGTTTATTTATCCACGGCGTTTAGACAAACGTTTCCTGTGTCGGCGAAACTTCCGCCTTTAATCGTCGTATGTGTGCAATTTTCGGAATGTGTTTCGCGATTGGTGTGCAGCCCGATCACGAAAGATTACGTGTATTACACACTGTGCCGTTACAAAGCGTAGATTGTGCGTGAATGGAGAAACGTTCTGGTTGCTCGATGAATTTATAGAATTTCCGAGGGAAACGACAGAGACGAAACTCTGTTCTAAATTAAAATAGATTGTTTAACAAGCGTTTAGATGAAATTTGGTGCTGATTAAATTGGGCTCATTTTTAAGACTGATATTTAAAGATTTTTTATAGCGGAATTTTAAAAAGTTTATGCAAAAATTTTAATAGCAAGTTTATGCAAAGAAATAAGAAATTTAGAGAAAAATTTAAAAAGCAATTTGTGTACAAATTTAATAAGAAATTTATGCAAAAATTTAATAAGGAATTTGTGCAAAAATTAAATATCAAGTTTATGCAAAAATTTAGTAAGAAATTTGTACAAAAATTTAAAAAGCAATTTGTGTACAAATTTAATAATTTATGCAAAAATTTAATAAGAAATTTGTGCAAAAATTAAATATCAAGTTTATGCAAAAGTTTAATGAGAAATTTATACAAAAATTTAAAAAGCAATTTGTGTACAAATTTAATAAGAAATTTATGCAAAAATTTAATAAGAATTTTGTGCAAAAATTTAACAAGAAATTTATACAAAAATTAAGTATCAAGTTTATGCAAAAAGATAAGAAACTTATACAAAAATTTAAAAAGATATTTCTGCACAAATTTAACAAGAAATTTATGCAAAAATTGAATCGGAAATTTAGACAAAAATTTAAAAACCAATTTCTGCAAAAATTCAAAAACAAATTTGCTCAAAAATTGAGTAAGGAATTTATGCAAAAATTGAAGAAGAAATTTCTGCAAAAACTTCAAAAGAAATTTCTGTAAAAATTGAATAAAAAAATTTCTAATAAAATCAAATAAAATTTAGTACATTTTTAATAAGACACTGTAATTTACCCTCAAGTTAAAATGCCTTATTTTGTGAGAATTTAAAAAATATTGAAAATTCAAACCATAGGTTAGGTCCATGAGTTAAATAATTTTTTTGAAATTTAAAATGCAATACAATACTGAATAAAATGTTTAAAATTTCAGTCAAGTATCAAATTTCTATATGTTTAATTTTGCAGTCTTTAAAAGTTGAATTGCAATTTATTTGCAAAAATGTATAAAACTACTGTTATCAACTTACAGTGTATTTTAAAAAATTGCAGAATAAAAGTGTGCTAATATATGATACAGTAAAAATTCACATGATCAAGATTTGAGAAACAGAAAACCAAATAAAAAAAAGACCAAAATTTAAGAAACAGAAAATTCACAAAATAAAAAGAGAAAATTTGTAATTTTGACAATTTGGAATTTTCAGAAAGAAAACTGTAATGAGCCCAATTAAAAATCAGCAAAAAATGTAAAAAAAGAAAGTCTAAAATCGATCAAATTTTTCCCCTGAATTAACAAAAAACTACGCGATAAGCAGTATTTCTCTCGTTCTTCGCTCATTTCCTCTTGCATACCCTGTTTCGTCCCGAGGACTCATTCTAAAGGGAAAAATATCCCTCCACAGCGATCCCTAGATAAGAATCTCTCGAAGGCAATGTCGCAGCCGATCCAATAATACATTAATTTCGAGCATCTGCGCGATAGATGCCTCTTAAATAGAGAACCGATAAAAAAAAAAACAAAACAAAACTCTTACTCTTTTCATCCTCTTGACGCTTTATCACCTTTACGATGCCATTTTCTTTCTCTCGTTTCACCCTTTCTCATTTTCTCTCTCATTCTCTCTCTCAATCGTTCCTCGTGCGTCGCTTGCTCCATCGTCATCATCATCATCATCTGCTCTCTCTCGCTCTTCTCTCGTTGCTCATTTTCTATGTACAGACTGCGAACTGCGAATAAATGATAACTTACGTGCTAACTTATTCTACCGACAGTGTTTACTTAGTTTAATTACCGGGTGCACGGGAAATTATTTTATTGGTCGCGAATTTTGGGGAATTTGGGCGTTACTGCGGTGACTGTTCGAGAGGCTTGCAAATTTGGGAATTTTGAATTTAAAAATTTAAAAATTTGGAAATTTGGAAATTTTAAATTTGGAGTTTGGAAATTTGTAATTTTGTAATTTTGTAATTTTCTAATTTTGTAATTTTGTAATTTTGTAATTTTGTAATTTTGTAATTTTGTAATTTTGAAAATTTGGAATTTTGGAAATTTAGAATTTGAAAATTTCCAATTTGGAATTTTGGAAATCGAAAATTTAGAGTTTGGAAATCTTGGAATTAGAAAATTTAGAAATTGGAAATATTGGAATTAGAAAATTTGGAATTTGGAAGTTTTGGAATTCGAAAATTTGGAATTTGGAA